GCAGTTGGCGCAGGATAGAGCAGGGTTTAGAGCTGTTGTGCATAGGGTCGCTATGAGTCGGAAACGACTCGATGGCACATAACAACAACAACAACATTATGGTTATCACAAGAGTCCACAATTAAGGTTGCATAAGGAATGTACTTGGGACTGCGGGAGGGGTGCAGAGGGATTGTGTACCCGGGAGGGAGTGTTTCTTTTACTTTTGAAAGAGAGGAGTGAACTGGGGGTGGGGGAGAGCTGGGCGGGGAGAGAAGTGCAGCAATGAATGAATGGAAATCCAAAATCTCTGTAAATGCTCATTAAAATTATTAAAAAAAATAAAGCATAAAAAAAAAGAGTAAACCAGTCGCTAGGCAGACAGAGGCTACCCCCCACTGGCATGATCTGGTGCCCTGTTTTCTCAGTATGCAGTGGTGCAATCCTAGGAGGTCTCTGCTGTCTAGCCTGCCTTTATCTCTGACATCTGCCCTCCCCAAATTAGGTCCAGGCTGACTTCATGCTTCATAGATTCCCAGAGCAAGACCCACTTCACACTCCACAGATCCCAGAGCAAGATCTTCAGCTGGATATCAACTTTGGGTTCCTCCTGCACATGGAGATCCTTCAGACATTCATAAAGCCTTAATCAGAGCAGCTTGAAGAGCATGGTATCCTCAACTCAACACAATACAACTCATTGCCATCAAGTTGGATCTAACTCGCAGCTGACTCTCCAGCAGGTGTTTAGAGGTGGTAAATCACACGGAAGGAGATTCCCCATCTTTCTCCTGAGGAGCCACTGGTGAATATGAACCACGAGAGACGCTGTTTTTCGGGTTAGCAGCGAAGCTTCTTATAGACTAAGTCACCAAAGCTTTGAGTATGTCTCCAATGTTGCATGGGGTATATTTACACTAAGAAAACATTCTCTGTTTACTTGAGAGTCAGTTAACTGGCATGGTATGTTGTTATTGTTGTGAATCAACTCATAGCTGAACCTCTGGAGGGTTTTCAGAGGCACAGGAGGAGACTGTCCATCTTTCTCCTGTGGAGCAGGTGGTGGATTTGAACTGCTTGCCTTTGGACCACATGGTATACTCTGGTTGAAATTATTCACTTTCGCATAGCCTCTCTGAGAGTGTCTTCATCGGTATTGTATCACAACAGTACCTACCCCACAGGGTGCTGGTGAGGTTTAGAATACAATGAGCATTTAGAATGGTGTCTGGCATGCAGTGAGCGCTCAATAAATGTTACTTGTCAACATTATCCTTCATCGCTGAATCTTGCCCAGGCCTAAGACAAGTTGGAGAAAGTAGCTTCTCCAATTGGCTTCAAATGGTTTCCAGGGTAGTGAATTTTTGTCAGTGGCCCCATCTCCCTGCAAGCTCACCTGCTGTCCCTGCTCCAGGAGCTCATAGACACTGTTGGTGTAGACCCGGCGTTTAATACCAGCTCGGTCAGCGCTCTGAGGGGGCAGCTCGTGGAGGAAGCGAATGTTGGGGTCAGCCACGCTCAGGTCATCAGGCACCCCACAGTCCAATGGGAAGAGGATGTACAACCGTTGTCTCCCGGGCCCCCGTAGCATGTTTTTGTGACATTCATTATATATTTGGATTCGGGCCTGGAGTCCTGGAGTGGGGAGGCCCAAGAACAGAAGAGGAGAAGTCATTCTACTAGTTATGCTTCCCACCTGACCCAGGTCATTGTCCCCTCAGTGGCTGCAAGGGGACCAGGTGTCCAGTCCATGCTCATTGTATAAGAAACATGGAGAAACCATAAGCCTTAAATAAAAATATCTTCTGAAATCTTTAATAAAACAACAGTTTAAGTAGTGAAGAACATCATGCAAGCATTGTGCTCTTTTTAAAACTATCTGTATAACAATCAAATTGACAACAGCAATGGAAAAGATAGAAACTTCGTGGATAGTAAGTTTATGTTAACGGGAGATGGACAGCTCAGAAAAGGAGGGTGAGAATGGCTGTATGACTTGAAGAATGTTATCAGTGTCACTATAATGGCACATGTAGATTTTATTGAATGTTCTGTTGTATATATTCTCATCAGCAACAACAAAAAGAGGCCTAGAGAGGCAGAGAATCCAGGAACCCATACTACTCCTAACTCATTACCCCTATCCTTCTCCCCACTAAAAGAGCCCTTCGCCCTCGTATCTCCTTTCCCCAGATTTCTGTGTCATCTCTACCGCTTCCCATTATAGACTTCAGGGTTCTGAAAGGCAGGAAGTCTGAGAAAGGGACATTCCCAGGCCTTTGGCTCTAGACCCATTTCCTAAGGGAAGCCCAGGTAGTCAAGGGGAGAGAGTATGAGGCTTGGAAGAACCTTCACGTAGGCCTGCAAGTCAGAGAATGAGATACATGGACTCCATGGTATAGTATTAATGGTCCAGGCTCTGGACAGACTCAGGTTCAAATTCACTATGAAACACACATCCATGTGATTTTTAGATAAGCTACTTTACCTCTAGAAAGATACTTTTCTAATCTGTAGAGTGCTAATTATTATTTCTTCAGAGTGTGAATTTCTGGAGAAAATGCGCCTAGAGTATATACAAAGAATGCAGTAGATAATTATGAAAAAGAATTTATGGGTGTCCCAGGACACATCACTTAACGACTCTAAGTACCTATTCCTTACTGTAAACTTGGCGCAATAATAACTTCCTTCATGCCACAAGGGTTTTTTAGGAATCAGATGGTTTGTTGACTTGGAATTGCTTTGAAAAGTGTAGAGGATTCTAGAAGTGTAAGAGGCTGTGCATCTTATTGTTTGTCTGGTAGAGCTAGAAATAGAGGAAATAAGGGTGGCTCACCTGGCAGGATCAGCCGAAGGTATCCAACGTAAAACGACCAGGCCAGTCCATGGGCCACATTAAAGTTCCTTTTTTCACAGATTGCAGACACCTCAGCTGGGGTCTGGCCCTATGGAGAGCAGGGCAGGGCTGGGACCTCCATGATGGACATCCAGATCCCTCCTCTTCCAAGAATGCTTCCAATATCCGGATGACTGGCCCACTTCTCTGCCACCACAAAAGCTGCGGTCACTGCCACTCCAGCTCCACACCTTGTAGTCAACGCTTAGCCTATCCCAGAGCTCCTGGGATGAGCTCCTGGCAGATCACCCTACGCACAGCCTCCATTTTCCAGGCCCTCCCCTTCCGTTGTGTCATACCTGGAGGCTCAGGAGGATGTTCAGTGCCTGTGAGAGGCCCAGAAGGGCAAGTGTCCAAGAGAGGGGCAGTGTAGCCATGTCTGGGAGGAAGTAGAAATAGCAGGAGAGCAGCAGCATGCTTATACAGCGGATGGGGAAGCCAAAGCTGGCCTGCACAGCCCTCCAGAAGCTGCTCTGGTACCTGCAGGTGACAGCCCGACTCAGTCAGAGAAGTTAAAAAAGGGAGAGGGCGAGGGGGCCAAGAGAGTGGCACACATCGGGTGCCCAATCACCAGCACCATTCCTACAGAGTTACCTGGAGTGGATATGACACAGCTCCTCAGCCAGACTGCAGAGGCCCTTGAATAATAGTCCCAGCTGCACGGAGGCTAAGTGGAAGGCCAGCCAGTGGAGAGTGTGTTTTGGTGACTCCCCTAGCCACCAAAGGAGCACTAGGCAGGCACTCAGCAGAACCAAGGCTGCCTTCTGGATCCCGTGACCCCTGTGCCGTGGGATGGACGGATGTAGGCTGGAGTGGGGCATCTGTGGGCACCAAGAAACTTACTTACTTGGCAGCCTTCCTAGGACTGAGAGGCACCTGCTCCCCATCCCTTTCCCAAGTGCCACCCACACACACACCCAGAGAGTGTTCTTAGAGACACTTCTAGTGGACAGGCTAGGCATGCATCATCGTGGGGGCTCATATCCAGGAAAAAGGTTAGAGAAAGCAGAGCAGGTAGAAAAATGCCCACATGAGCAGAAATGCCCAGTGAGATCACCGGTGGTGAAGAAAGAAGCCAGAGACAGCCCAGACCTGGATTGAATGTGTCCCACACGGGCCCCACCCACTCAGGAAGCGGGGGGCTTGTGCGCCCCTCCTCTGAACTCCTGCTCAGAGGGGGGCCTTAGTCAACAAAGTGGGACACCAGCGTTCTGTTCTTTCGGGAGTCGACTCCTCAGGGTAGCCAGAAGTTGTCCACTCGCCTCTGGATCTCTGCCCCCACCACTACCCTCCACTCTTGTCTTTGAGCTCCTGCTGAGCTTGGGGGTCTTACCGTCACCTTCCTGACCCCAGGGATCCTGAAATATGACAGGGAAGGCAGGCTGGGCTCAACAGCTCCCAGAGATGAAGCTTCTCTAGACGCAGCCTGAAACGAAACATTAAAATAAATGGATGTTTTTCCTCACAACACTGCAGCCCTGGCGTTTTACCAGACCGCAACTTTGGGTGTGATGAGGGAGGGCACTTCCTGCTCCTAGACGGGGAGGAAGAGTTCTCCTTCAGGGCCCTTGAGAGAGCTGTGTGCCAGTCTGGGGTGGGGTGTAAGGCCTGAGGAGGCCGCCATCCTGTTTCCTTTTGCTGCCAACAGAGGTATATTCAGGGTGTAGCTGAGGTGGTGTGTGCCCTGGGTGCCTTTTCAGGAGGTGCCAATAAGCTGTTTCAATTCATCTCTATTTATTGTTGCTGTTTCCATTGCTAGCGGGGGAGATCATCCAGCAACATAAAACTAAAAAGGGTATCATAGGCACCCTTTTCCGGAGAACTGCCTCTAATTATTCCTGAAACTGGAAGCCCCGCAAAAAGATGAATGGACACAATAGTTGTTAACAATGAGGTTAGTATGTAAAAGATGATAAAGATAGCACAGAACAGGACAAGATTCAGATCAGTTGTTCACACTGAGGTCCCTACGAGCAGTAGTTGACTTGACAGCACTTAATGTCATCCCCCAAACCAAAAGGATTAAAAAACTTAGAATCATCTTTATCCACAATCATCAACATCTGCAATCCCTAAGCTCCACCCATCACGTAAGAAGAATGACTTTATCCAAGAAAATATGCACACTACATGATGCTATCCTTCCTGATGATTATTTGTTACGATTTCCAGATGCATAGTCTCTTTTTCTAAAGACTGTGACTTCAGGGAAAATGAACAAAATAATTTCTTATAAAGCAGAGCCTTTTGAGAAAAGAGCTTGTGGGAGCTGGAGACCCTCTGAAGAATGTGTCTTTGAGGAGAAAGTGAGCTTTGTTCTTACAGGAAGTGAGCTTGCCTGTGATTTCTCAGAGAGAGCCCAATGATACCAGCAAAAAAGTTGGTTGTTTGGAAAACCATAAAAATAAAATACTTAACATGCTTTAGACATCATGCTAAAGTGCTTACACATACTATTTCACCTAACACTCTGACAGTCATGTTGTTAGGTGTCGTTGAGTCACCTGCAACTCATAGTGACCCTATGCATACTAGCTCTGAACCCTGCCATATACTAAGCCAGTCTCACTGGAATGACACACCTAACCTCATTACACCAGTTACTGCATCGATCCATCTGCTCTGGGGTTTTCCTCTCCTCTCCTGAACCTCCGCCTTTCCAAGCATGATGTCCTTCTCTGAGAACTTCCTGGGAACATGCCCAAAGTATATGAGAAAGAGCTTCAAAATCCTTGCCTCCAAAGAGCAACTTGGTTTCACCCTCCCAAGGACAGATCTATTTGTTCTCTTGGTGATCCATGGTATGTTAAGTGCTCTTCTCCAGCACTAGAACTCAAAAGCATCAATTCTTCTTCTGTCATCCTTGTTCATTGTCCAGCTTTCTGACGTATAGCAAGTTATTGCAAAGACCATGGTCTGGATCAGGCACACTCTAATCTCTAGACTGACATTCTTGCTCTTTAGCACTCTGGACAGGTCTCTGACAGCAGATATTTCTAATGCCATTTTTCTTCTGATTGCCTGACTGCTAGTGCCAAGAGAGTTGATCGTGGAAACGAGCAAGCTGAAATTGTTAACAATCTCAATTAATCTCTTCTCCATCTATCCTGGTGCTTCCAATTGGCCTGGTGGTGACAGCAATACTATCTAGTAAAAACTCAAAAGACTTAACTGCCATCTAGTTTCTTCTAACTCATAGAGATCCTCCACTGGGTTTCTGAGGTTGTTAATTATAATAGAAGGAGACATTCCATCTTTCTTCCTCAGATCCTCTGGTGGATTTGAACCACCAGAAATACTTGGACTTTGGGTTAGCATCATTTTATTATGGTTTATTATGCATATTTTACAGATGAGTAATCTGAGTTCCATCTCACGTATTTTGGGCATGTTACCAGAAAGGACCAGCCCTTCAGAAGGGCATCAGGCTTAGAAGGATGGACAGACAGTTCAAGAGAGGAAGACCCTGGATGAAATAGATTGACTCAGTTACTGGGGTAAAAGGGATAAGTGTGTCAGAGGCAATGAGGTTGGCTCATAATAGAGTTCCAGAGATATTGTACATGAGGCCACTATGAGTTACAGGCAACTTGACAGCACATAAAAACAATGACAAACTGAGAGTCAGCAAAGTGAAATTACTTGTTCACAGTCCCCTAACTAGTAAGTAAAGGATTGGAGACTTGAAGCCAGGTGAGTTTCTCTGAAGCCCAGCTTAGTCTGTGCCTTGATTTCATGGGAAGAGGTAGAAGGCACCAGAATCATATTTCATGTCAACAGTTCGCTGAGTAGGAGTTGAGGGATTGATTATCTTTGGGTGCTTCTTAGCAAGCTGATGAGCTGATTCAAAGGTAGGATCAGGTCTGAGGTATAGGGCTCAGCGAGCAACCACAGACAGCAGTAGTTCAGACCTGCCCAAATCAAAGGGCCCTTCCTCACTTCAGAACTAGACACAAGAAGGTACACAAATTTATTATAAAGGCCAATGGCTTCTCAGAAGCAGTGATGCTTCCTAGAAAATTCCTTTTTGAAAATAATTTCTCAAGAATGGGTATTTCTTACACTCTTTCTCCTCTGCAAATATTGTTGTTAGGTGTGTCAAGTCAAATACAACTGATAGTGACCCTATAATCAACAGATTTGAACCCTGTCCTATGCTGTGCCATACTCACAACCTCTGATAGATGAGCTCACTGTTGCAGTCAAAGTGTCAATCTGTCTGACTGACTCTCTGAAAGAGACATATCTATTTGTTCTTTTGGCAGTCCATGATATTCAGCACTCTTCTCCACCATGGCGTTCAAAGGCATTAATTCTTCGGTCATCCTTATTGTCCATCTCTCAGAAGCATAGCAAGTGATTGAAAAGACCATAGCCTGAATCAGGTGTGCCTGAAAGTTGGACAATGAGTAAAGATTATGGAGGGTAAGTCAATACCTTTGAGTTGTGGTATTGAAGATGAACATCCCATAGATGCCAGAAGTACAAATATGTCTTAGAGGAGGTGCAACCAAGATACTCCTTAGAAGCAAGGATAGTGAAACTCCTCTCACACGCTTTGTACATGTTGTTAGGTGGGGCCAGTCCTTGGAGAAAGATACCATACTTGGAAAGATGGAAGGTCAGTGAAGGAGGGGAAGACCCTCAATGAGATGACACAGTAACTGTAACAATGGACTCAAGTATAACAAAGATAGCGTGGCACAGGATATGTCAGGGTTCAGATTCATTGTTCATAGGGTGTAGTTGATATGATGGTACTTAAAAATGACAACATGGAACAGAACAGCTCGTGAGCATGGCAGGCCAGGTCCTGCTGTCATGATATCTACAGGTGGGCAGGAGAAATTGGTATTATGTGCTTGTCCTTAGAGAAGGACATCATGTTCGGGAGGGTGGAGGGACAGCACAGGAGGGGAAGGCCCTCTATGAGGTGCAGCTTCTTGCCACTAGGCCACCAGAGCTCCTTAGGAATTATGTTTTATCTAAAGATTACGTTTTGTACTATTCACAGCTTCACTATATTAAAGCTACTAATCTAGGAGTATGAAATTTTTTTCCCCAAATTATATTTGTCTCTTCTGGTGTCTTGTAAATAAAAAAAATCTAACACATTGGGTTAGTTCTGACTTGTACTTCAGAATTTTTCTGACTTATTCTACAAGCTAGATCCAGCGGCTCTCTTTTTTTAATCTCTGGGATTTTCCATTTATAGCAGTATGTCATCTGCAAACAAAAATACTTTCATATCTGGGCCATCTTTACTTCCCTTTCTTTCTTCTTGTTTTGTCTAGGACTTCTAGAATAGTGAAACCAGAATGGTGAAAATGGGCATCTTAGTTTCATTTTCATTTTCAAGGGAAGACTTTTAGTCTTCTCTATTAAAAATAATAAGAGTCTCCCTCCAATCCTGATGCCACACTCCTCTTCATAGAGTCCAGCTTCTTGGATAATTTTCTCAGTATATAGATTGAACAGGTATGGAGACAGAATACACCCTTGACTCACTCCCTTCCCAATTCCAAACCATGCAGTGTTCCCCTGCTCCATTCGCACAACAGCCAGGTATAGGTTCCTCATGATCATAATCAAGTGCTCTGGGATTCCCATTCTTCTCAATGTCAGCCACAACTTGTCGTGATCCACACAGTTAAATGCCTTTGCATAGTCAATAAAGCATAAGTAGACATTCTTAAGGTACTCTTTACTTTCATTCAGGACCCATCTGACATCAGCAATGATATTCCTGGTGCCACGGCCTCTTCTAAATCCCACTTGGACTTCTGGCAATTCCCTATCTATCTATGTACTTGTTCCAGCT